AAAGTATTGATAAGTTCATGAAGATTTGTAATAGTTGCAAATCTATTTTTTTACTTTTGTCAAGAATAACATCTATAATTTTTTCTTCTAAAGATAATCCAAATAAATTTAAATAATTAAATTAGGAGAAGATAAGCATCAATTTTTGATATCAAATAAAAATTTCTACAAAGAAAAGTAATCTGCTCTCTTTAAAGAAAAAATATTAATTTTTAGAAAATTATAAGTTAATTTAAAGATAGGTGGTCTGTAACTTTTAAGAATACAACAATAAAAGTAGAATAATCCACTCATTTATATATATATATATATATAAAATAATAAATTTGGATTATTTTTAAATTATCAAGGATATAAATTTCAAAGAATGAAAACTCAATACACTCTTATGTTACTCGAAATGATTAGAAATTCATTCAAAGATGATAATATATTGAAGTAGAATGGCTATTGCTAAAGATAAAAAGACTTTAAAGTCTTAAAACAAGACTAAGGACTAAAAAGATATTGATAAGAGTGAAGAAGGCTTGATTCTTGCCTCTATATATACTATCTAATTAAGAGTTACACTGCAATATTTTATAGGATCTCCAACATGTATTCACATTGCAAGACACATGTCTTAATTTGTAAGGTAAGTTTTCTATATGCATGCTATATTATTAGCTTGTATCACAAGCTATTAATATAAGCAATATATAGCTAGCTTCCTAGCCAAGTTTTTAACCTATCAATCAAGTAGAAATATGTATAAAATCAAATATGCATCTTTAAAGCTTCTAATAAGCTTTATCACAAGATAATAATAAATCTACCTATATTTAATTTTTATCTAATATTTATTATCTAGGTAAATATACATGTCTATGATAATAACACTATTATATGGTACTAAAATATATTAGTAAATTGACTATTCTAATTTAATTGCAAGTACCTTTTATATACCTCTCACTTCAAATATATTTTTTCAAAAAATAAAATAAACGATAAAAAAAAAATCACTAATTTTTAGATTCTTATTCTTTATATAATAAGAGATTTCAATATCTATAATTTTTAAGGGGCTCAAGAAGGCCACAATAGGAACAATTCTTCTTCTCAATATAAGTAGTCTAATGATAAAGAAGAAGGAGGTTACAATATGAAAGGTAGAGAATTGAAGTGACTTTCATGAATAGTGAAACTTTTGTATTCTTCATATCTAATATGAAGAACAAAGAGGAATTAAGGAAAAGATAAATAAATAAAATACTTTAAGACTTAGAATTAACAAGAGTATGCAAAGATATCATAAGGTTTCAAACTTTGTTACAATTTTAAAATTGTTGTTACAAAAAATGAATTTGTAATAGTAAGAGATGGATCTGTTATTATAATTCTATTATTACATAATAAATAACAAAGATGGAACATTTGACAATAGGTCTTAAATAGTAATATTAAAAGATAAAATCTATTTTATAAATATAGGTCTTAATTTGCTATGAATAAAATCAAATTTGTTGAAAATAATGCTTACTTTATCTAAATTAGATTTAAATCTAGAATTAATAGACTAACCAGTACTTATACTATAGAATATTTATTGTTATCAAGGTTTGAATTTATGAATAATGGAAAAAAAATCTTAATAAAGACAAAATATAGTGCTTAATATATTTTATAATTTTATATATTACATTCCATAGCACAAGATGGTCTATACCTAATATGATTGTATATATGACATGACAAGACTTTGATTTTATTTTTTAATTTTTTAATTACACTACTTTTTATGCTAAATCTCTAAATAAAATAATTTTTTTGATTTATTTATAATTTCAATACATGTCAAGAAGCTACCTTCTAAATCATTGAGTGTTTTTAAGTGTTAGATTCTTATATTATAGAAGAATCTAATAAAATTTATTTACAAGATTTTCTTCAATAGTCTTTACAAAATTTACATTTTAGATCTAAATTATACTATTATAATTTTTTTTATTAAAGAGTATAAGGTTCTTAAATTTTTTTTGTAGTCTGTAATGTATTTAACACACCATTAATAATGGTCCTAAGTTTTAAAGAGAGTTTAGCTGGCATGAAGTAATCCTATTTCAATGATTAATTGTATCTTACATAAATACTTCAAAGTTTATTTTAACTCAGCAAATTAAATTTTTTTAAAATTAAAATACTTTTTAATTAATATATGTGCATATATATATATATATATATATATATATTTGAATTTTTTTGAAAGGTATTTCTATGTATATATATATATATATATATATATGTATATATATATATATATATTACTAAATCTCACTACATTTGTGAATTTCAAACAATTTTATTCCATATATATAAGTTTAAAAATAACAATTCTAGTTGAGTGTCAAGGACATGAATCTCAAAGAAAGAGAATCCTCAACACACTCTTCTATCACTGAAGAGAACTAAAAAGTCACTCCAAAGGTGATGTAATATTAATTAGAATCGTTATTGCTAAAAACAAGAAAGATTAAAAAGTCTTCAAAACAAGACTAAGACTAGAAAGGCGTTGACAAGAGTGAAGAAGGCTTCACTCTTGCCTCCATATATACTATCTAACTAAGAGCTACGTGGTGATGTCCTATAGGACCTCCAACATGTATTGACTTAAAGTTGTAAAAATTTAAATGTATTAGATAATCTTCAACCATAATGTGTATTGATTAGTTATAATTAAAATTTCTCAAGTTTTTTGATTAATGGCACCTTAGTTCTCTTCCTAACTTGTTTTTTTATCTTACTTTCCCATACATTGCTCATTTCTTATTATGTAAGTTTCTTTGTTTCCTATTTTATACTTTCTTCTATATTTTGTAATTTTAGACTTTAGTGATTAGCTTAAAATATAGATTCTACTAATATCTTTTGACAAAAAATATAATTTTATATTTTCTAAGAAACTTTGTTTGTATACATGTGATAAAAGAGAATCTTTGCTAAAACTAAAGAATGGTGTAATGGTCATTCTTATACATCTTGATCTTGAAGCTTAGAATCAATTTAATTACATTCTAGGAAATTTAGAAAAAAAAAATCTAAGTTAAAATGGTCTATTAATGAATATAAATTTTCATTAATTTTTTTTATTTAGAAGCAATTGATAGAAGTTTCTTCTATCAGATATATCTAACTTCGATTCAATATATTAAGAACTAATATAAGTAATGTTAAGAATTTTATTGAACTATTTTGATTTGCTTTGATTTTTTTTCTTAGTGCCATACAAATCTTTCATAAATCTTTAGTTTACTCAAGAAAATTTAGGGCCAAGGATTTGATTTTGTTATTTTCTTGTTTAAATATATTATACATTATAAGTTCATGGAGTTGTGTGCTCAAAACATTTTATTTTGTAATGGATATGCTTTATATTTAATAAAGAAAATTTTACATTATTTGAAATTATTCTTTCTTGTTATGTTGTTTTTTTACTCTATTAAAGCAAATTGTACATGGTTGTGTATTTTTGTCTTTTTACACTATAATGTACAATTTATAAAAAATTATGTGTCTTCTTCTTTTACGTTAGAGTATGTGCATGCTAAATGATTCTTATGTATGTCAATGTATAATTAGTATAAGCTATACATTATTTATTTATTTATTTATTTCATCACACAATGTATATAAGTTTAGTAATTTTTATCTTTATAAATACAATTTTAAAAAATATAAAGAAGATTTTTTAACAAGATAAAATATTAAAAATAAATTACATATATTTTAGATATTAAAATATTCTATTAAAAGAAAATTTGAAATAATATTTTTTCAACTAAATATATTAAGAATAATATATATATATATATATATATTTATATATATACATGGTCTATATATGAGATCAAAGACTATTTAAAAAATAGCAGTCACTTAAAGTTTTGTCTTGTTAAAGTTTTATTTTTAATTGAATTTGTTTCTAGTTATTATAATATATATATATATATATATATATATATATGATATGTCCCATATAATATTATGATATTAAGAAAAAATATTATATGGGACGTATCATTAGCTACATCTGTGAAGAATCGTTGTCGAGTTGTTTCCATGCACTGTTAAGATGTTGGGACTGTCTTCTTCCACAACTAAAATATTAAGAAAAAATATTCTTCTCAAAGACATAAAATCAAAATAATATTATGATATTAGCCATTAAAAAGATGTAAATTGTAGTAAAGCTAAATTTTAATTACCAACACATTACATGGTAATTAAATCAAAGGATGGCTATGAATTAGAGGTAATGGTGACTAATCCAATAATTCAGAAAATAATAATTAATCTTGATTGTCTTTAAATCACCTTTGAATCTAATATAAATTTTATTAAATCACATAATACAAAATTGGTATTTGCAATGCATTGATGACATCTAAAAGAAGCAACTACAAAGCTAACCAAATACAGATAGATAAACCTAGGTCACAAAATCAAGCAAGTAATACATAAAAAAAATGAGAATCATAAAAATGATTTAATGTTTCTATATTCTTTAATATTAGGAATTGATAAGAAATAAAACTTTTATCTATAATAAATATAAATTGTTTCTTATCTTATTTTTGTTCGTTTTGAGTTTCTTGCAGATGATTTGCTTAATTAGAGGTCCAAATCTTTTGATTGCCTGAGAAATGGAAGATGCGTTGCTCGAGGCTTTCAAAGGCATGGAGGAGTGAACATTGCAGATCGATAAACAGGTGGAGTTGAGTTTGCAGATCCAGTATGTATCGACAGAAAGCATCAACCTACGAGGGGATAGACATGAGCCTCGAGGAACAAATTACAACTACTGGAACGTGAACCACTAGCTGCAGGCAAGATGGCCAGTCTGCAATACTGTCAAGGTGCTGCATCGAATACCCCCTTCAAGTGCATTTATTGGAATGTGAGATCTATCAGTGGGAAGAAGAACGTGGATAGCTTGCAACACTACATCAATGAGAAACAGGTCAGGGGAATATTTCTTTTACTTGAAATTCATTTATAAGATCGCATTTAAACCCACAAACAACAATAATTCCAATGGTATATCAACATTTGCTTGTTTGTGCCTCAAGTCCAAAACCTGCATTGCAGCCATTGTCGTTCCTCTGTCGTGATTGTTGACTCGCAGCTTCGTTTTGTTTGTTGAAATTGGTTCATGATACTTTTTAAAAGATATTGGTAATCTTGTGGTGGTGTTTGTTGTAACTCATGAATGAAACTTTCATAGGTGGACCTTCTATTTCTATCCGACACATGGCAGCGGAAAGGTCACCATCTGCCTGAATTGCTGGTAATCTTTTGAGATATGGCTGTCAAGAGCTGGGTGTAACTGTCTTCCGTGGTCAATTGCAAGGTTTGGGTGGAACATACCATGCTAACAAATCTCTTCGGCGCTCACATTGCAGGACTATGACCTGATATCTTGCAGAAGTGACAAAGCTGGGAATCGCGGCGGCGTGGCATGCTACTACAAGCACGACTATTCATTCCACATTTTAGGTTACAAAATTGATCCTCAGGGCCATTACCTCTGGCTCAAGCTTGACAAAGCCCTTGGATTCGAGAAAGACCTCTTTGCAGCTGTTTGCTACTTTCCCCCGATTTCCTCCTCAGCTTACGATGGCCGTGACCGACTCGAACCGAGTTTTCCTTACAAGAGTCTTAGTAATGACATCTTCTCGTTATCGAAGAAGAAAAATGCTCGCAATTTCCTCGTTGTGGGTGATTTCAACAGCCGGATAGGTGATGCACAAGCTTGTGAAGCGCAGCGGCAAGGGTTGTCACGTGACTCTGCGGACAAGAATATTAATAAGTTCGGTCTTTCGCTGATGGATGTTTGCGACACGAACGATTTAATCATCTGCAATGGTGTCACCCAAGTAAACTACTCTGCACAAGAAGCAATCAAGATGTGTGTGTTCTAATACGAAGAGAGTTAGAGATGCAAAGGAAGATACTAATATGCTCATCGTCCCAAACTACTGATGCGGAGTATTTCCTTGTCTAGGTTTGGCCAAGATCGGGAGAGACAACGTGTAGGAGCACCAGTGTTGTGGACTGCATTCTCGCACCCCTTTCCAGAGCTCGACACTTGTTGAAGGAAATCCAGATCCTTCCCTTGGACAAAAAATCAGATCATAATGCCATAAGCTTCACTCTTCGACGGCAAAGACCTTTCCACCATCCTCCTTCACCATGCGAAACTTATCAAGCAGCTGCGGCGGCGTTCTCCACAAATGCCTCAATTGCTAGAGAGATCCGTAGTCCGCTGAGTGAAACCTCGACCAAAGCAACCATTGAAACCCAAACAAGCAAGCACCGGTTGGGCTGCCGCTGCTGAGACAGCTTCAAATTTTGATTTTAAGAAATCGTCATTTGAATCCGCATTTGTGATTAGTGACAGAAAAATGGGATGTAATAATCGCGAAAAGTCTAAACAAAACAGTCCCAAGGATTTGATTATGGCAATGGAGGAGTGGGAAACCATGAAATCCACTTCGAGGGGGAAAGTAGATGCAGAGGAGATTGCGACATCACCTGAATGGAGAAGAGACAATTGGAGATTACCAGAACAAGCATTCAACACAGTGGCTATGTCACCACGCGAGGTGAAGCCTTCAGACTGGAATTTCAAATTTTCAAATGTATGATTCATGCTCCGCAAAACTCCAAGGAAAAAAGTTAATCACTTCTCTCCGCCACAATTTCTCAGGTCACCACCTCTGGCACACAGGTTCCAAATTCATCTGAAAAGCCGATCACAACATCAGTGAAGTTTGACCCTTCCACTCCTTGGGGATTCAGTGCATCGACGTGGTATGGAGCTAAGACATCACGAGCTCTGAATAAACCACTTGCGGATGGGTGGAGCCGGCAGAACCGCGACTGTAGAAAGCCAGCAGCGCTTGAAGACCATCCAATTTTCGCGACCTACAAGAGAGGCTACATGATGAGAAACGTGGATTTGCTTACCAAGCAGACAATTCATCAGAAACCTAATCTTGACACCAACAAGCTCGTCGTGGGACTAGGAGGTTTAGGCCCAACAGAGTGCTGGAGACATAGTAAACGAAAAGTTCCCATCACTCAGCCCGTTTTCTTCCTGCAGAACCGTGGGCTGATGACGGTCAATTTACGTCTACCGTCTGTTGGGTCTCCAGGACTCACTCGCGTTGCTAGGTGCGACGGGAAATATCTTGCCGAGTCCTCCCACAATGTTTCCAGGTTTCCTAGAATTGCAAGAGGGTAACCATGTGGTAGAAATCTGTTCAAACTTTTCAACCCAACTCTTGTGAATGGACTAAGCTTGTTCATATCCTATTTTCGCAGAGGGTGGTGCAGTGACAGTTCCAGGGTGACCGCATCAAGCTCCTGGGGCACCAAGGGCCTGAAGATTGGACCTGGATTCCGGTGCACATGCATGTATCCTGGTCACGGCCACACCCGAGAATTACAAATCGACAATCCCATCAGGATGAACTCTTACACAAGGACGATGACAGTGGACCATGATTCCAAGTTCTCTACTTTGCTAAAGAACCTCAAGTCTGCTTACGACTCTGACATGCGCTGGAAGTCCATCGCGCATTTCAAATTTACCCGGAGGGTCGTCAATGCCATCAGATGACATTTTTAAAAACCCGTGATCTTGAGACAAATCTGAGAGGAAGGTGATCACACTTCAAAGTTCATTTCAAGCAAATGTATTGGGTCATGACGTTCCTATGATCGGTGAAGAACGTCAATGCTGAAGTTTGCAGAAAATCGGGATCGCAACCATTGACTCTTAGAACTAGAAATATTATTTACGGTCAAGAGCAAATTTTTTAGTGTCCATATGCAGTAGTAATGAGGAGAGTTGATTCGTCGAGTAGGTAATAATGAAATCCCTGCGAGTTGTGCGGTGAAAATGCGAAATCTGCGCATCCGAAGACCGCGAGCTGGAATTAGAGGGGAAAGGAGGAAGCTTCACGTCTTCGAACATCTTCTTACATTGTACGCAAGTAAATAGAGTGTTTTAAATGAAATAAAAGAATCTGCACGCAGACGAGTTGCTTCGTAATGGTATGTCCAGTTCTATGAAGAATCTACAGTTGGGTGCTTGTTACTTAAAACTCGTTGAGCTAGTCCGATTGTTGGGTAGAAGGATATTCTTGAGGAGAATCTATTCGAGAAATTGTATGCAGTTGGAGGTGAGCTACTGAACTTGTTTCAGGACTGTAGTTGGCAACTTCTAAGTGTTGGAAGATCGAGTGGCATCCTATCTACTCTGAGAACTGTGCAGAATTTCTATGCATAAGTTCGCGACAGAGCCTCGGCAAAGATGCTTAAGACTTGAATTGTTTTCAGGGCCCTCGAAATCCAGTGGGATAGTTGCTTCTAGGATAGGTGACGCGAGTCTTGTCCTCCACGGAATACGATACAGTTAGACCGGCGAATGTTGCAGAATGGGATGGATCCAGAGTCTTCAGAGTCCAAAAGAGAATTTCACTAGGGTTTTAGGTGCAGCATTGGCCTGTTGGAACCTTCCACAACTTGCTAGGGCGCAAGGCGTCGCCACCTCGGCCACAGCCGCATGGTCATCTCAAATTATTGCGTTTTGAGGCGCAGTTGGAATCGGTGTCCGCAGCAGCAGTTGGCACCAAGCTTCTAATGCGCTCACCTCCTCAATCGCTGTGGTAACCGCCCTAAGGCACTCGAATGCCACTGTCGCCTCTCAGTCGCTCAGAGTGGTATGTTTTGGCGCCGGGCTATCATGGAGGACCTACCAGACTGGATGTGTTGCTGACATGCTGGAATACAAAGAGTGAACTAAGAAGTTTGGCGACAAAGGCCGCAATCATAGCAGAGGCCTTTGGAAGATCTCGCTGGCTGCTCTTGGTAGTAGGCCGTAAGTTTAAACCAAATAGTGGCACGAACTGTTGCAGGTTTTTTTGGACACAATCTCCTCGATGCCCTAGTTTCCCAGTTGTGCGTTTCAATGGTAGCAGGATTTATTTTCTATCTTTCACGCCTGATGATCTTGAGATCTTTGTGAATTATCATCAAACACGGGCCCACACAATTGATGAGATTGCTGCTCTCGTTACTGTCAGCTGCAACTTGACACCGGCAAGAGGTGCCAGCAGGGACGAAGCCCCTGAGAAGGTGCAGCAAAGCGCCACGATTGGACGTCATGTCACGTCCTTCCAGCTAGAAGAGGTGGTGTGTCCATATGTGAGCCTGGAAAAGCGTACCGGTCAGTACACCACCAGCCGGCATACAAATGTGACGATCGCGAAATGGATGTACATGATGGTGCACCTCAACGTGGCAGTGGCTGTTGGCCTCATGGCACGGCTTCCGGACGAGCATTGGCAGTATGGCTGTTTACGGTGCGCATTGTTATCAGTAAGCTGGGTGCGGAAGCTCTGGCTGCAGCCGGTGATGACATACGGCTGGTTCTTCCAGGAGTAGATCAGTTGTTGTATCAGGTCGAGGGCCATCCAGGAAGTACCATTGTGCGTGGTGACGCAGTACTTGTAGGCTCTCCTCGATCTCATATCGCTGCTGTTCTTGAATTGAATGTCATTGAGTTCTGCCTCTTAGTTGGGGGCTGGATTTATGGACCGTTGAATAAACGCTTTGCTCTGACTTTGGGGTATTGCAAGAATCCTGCCTCTCACCCGTACACTGATTTTCCACACAAAACAACCACAATAAATATTTTGCATGGATTGTTCTTTTGATAAACGTCTTAGGAGACGTCAAACTGTTTGTACTTTTGGAAACCTACTGCTGCCTAACTTCCTTTAACATATACTACCACCGTGTAGGACCAATAAACCCACCCCACACAAATTCCATGGACCTGCACGGGTGAGACGCTAGGCGACACTAAAATAAAACTCTAGTTAACATCTTTGATACCCATTACTTCCATTGAGAGTTGAATTCAGGACCTTCCACTTACTAAATGGGTGCTCTAGCCAATTGAGATTTAAAATGCCACTTCAGCTTAAAGGAATGATATAGTTACATGAATCATAATAAGAAAAGAACTAAGGTATCTGTGGTATTTTGAAGGTGGTAGCCTTAGAACTCATCTAGTTAAGTTCTACATGTATCTAAGAGCCTTGTTATCATAGTAATGACCTAAGGTCTATATATGTCATGCATTATTGATGCACACTATGTATTACCTTGGAAATAATGGGTCTTGATTTTAATGCTTTGGGATCCAAATGGATCCAACAATGAATTGTTTTGTATCTCTAATGTAGTTATGATTAACAAGGTGTACACTCTGTTGCATTGTTCAAGGCATGGTAAGGAGAGTTTGGGCATTATTCTCTTATTGTATATGTAAGTCAAGATAGCTTTGATTAGACGTGATACTATCTAATGAATTTACTTCCATTTTTTATATAATTTAGACCAAGATGTCTTTTGCCAATATTGAGGCAAGTTTGTTGATTACCTCAGCTTATAAGTTATTTGATGATTTGGTCAAAGTAAGATTTTTTGTTAAGATTGTAATGACTCTTGATTAGATTGGTGCCAAGGAGGATGACTGAGTTCCTCGAGTTGATATTATTGATATATTCTTTGTGCTTTGATAGCTATAAGCAAGTGAACAAGTCAACAAATCAAGGTTTAAGAGACGTTTGTAATTAAGTCAATTGTAATTAGAGTAAAATGAAGAGGCTTATGTTTGAATATAAAGAAATGTGTCTCCATAGTGGCATTTTTTTTTTTTTTTTTTTTTTTTTTTTTGTGATTGTAAGTTTTTGAATTTCTATAATTCAATCTATGAATCTATTTCCATTTGAATCATGATTTACTACATTTGATGAAGCACTACTTTAGTGTGGAATTAATCATTGTATAGGCCATGTTTGCATTTTTGGCACTACATGTATTACATAATGGCCCATCTTAGGATATCATTTAACCAACTGAGCTATTGAAGTTGAAAGAAAAGTGAAGTATCAATCTCCAAATCTTTCACATGCTAAATAAGCACTCTATTACTTGAGCTGAAATATATCAAATTAGCTTGTATAGAAATGATAAAAAAAAAAAAATTATAATTAATTAATTTTTATTTTCATGCAAAGCAAGCCAATAGATTTTTTTTTGAAAATTCTATGTATCATAATTGGAGTTATTGAATATGTTTGAATTTCCAAGTACTACATCTCAGATTTTTAATATCTAATTAGATTTAATGTCAAGGATATGAAATTCAAAGAAAGAAATACTTAATACACTATTGTGTCACTTAAAAAGATTAAAAAATCATTCAAAAATGATAATATATTGAACTAAAATGGCTATGGCTATAGAAAAGAAGACTAAAAAGACTTAAAAAAAGACTATAGATTGAAAAAGAATTGACAAGAGTAGAATGAGTTTCAGTCTTGCCTCTATATATACTCTTTAATTAGGAGCTATGTGGCAATATTCTATAGGACTTTTAATACATGTTGACTTTATTAGACATATACTTTAATTTGCAACGTAAGTTATTTATGTGTGTGCCATATAGTTAGCTTATTCCACAAGTTACTAATATATATATAACACATTATCAAGGATATGAATCTTGAACAAAGAAATCTTCTATACACTTTTGTGTCACTCAAAAGAATTAAAAAATCACTAAAAGATGATATAGTATTATAATAGAATGACTATTGCTAAAGATAATACGACTAAAAAGTTTTGAAATAAAACTAAAGACTAAAAAGGTATTGACAAGAGTGAAGAAGGCTTTACTCTTGAATCTATATATACTTCCTAATTAGAAGTTATGCAACAATATTCTATAGGACTGTCAAGGACAAGAACTCGATAAAAAAATAATTCAAACAAGTGAGCTTTCACTCAAAGAAAGGTAACAAAATATAAATAAACAAGTATGTATATTGAAAGAGAAACTGGAATGGCTATTGCCAAAAGACAAGAAAACTAGACACCCTTGAAACTAGACTCGAAGCAAGAAAGGAGTTGACAAGAGTGAAGAAGGCTTCACTCTTGTCTCTATATATACTATCCAGCTAGGAACTATGTGGCGATGTTCTATAGGACCTCCAATATGTGTTGACCTTGTAGGACACATGCCTTGACTTACAAGGCAAGTTTTTCTATGTGTGGGCCACATAATTAGCTTGATCTTCAAGCTAACAACATGTGTGGCACATGGCCAACTTGTTGAGCACGTTTCTAATCCAAAAAGTCAATTAAAGACACCTATGAAGTCAAAGCAGCATCTATGAAGCTTCTAAGAAGCTTCCATATTAAATACTATAGAATTAACTTACTTTTATCTACTTTTACTTACTTCTACCTATTTGTATATGTAATTACTAGCTTATATAAGTATGTCCATGACAAGGACTTCCAATATGTGTTGATTTTGCTAGATACATGTCTTAACTTGCAAGACAAGTCATCTATATGTGCACCATATAGTTAACTTGTTCCACAAGCTACTAACACATGTAGTATGTGGTTAATTTGTTGATCAAGTTTCTAATCCATCAATCAATTATAAATATATCTAAAATCAAAATTGTGACTATAAAGCTTTTAGAAAGATTTTTTAGAAGATATTATAAAATTAATCTATATTTATCTACTTCCATGTAATCATATAAATAACTATTAAAATATATAAGTATGTTTGTAATACTCATAGATAACTTATTGATCAAGTTTCTAACCTATTAACTAACTATAAACACATGTGAAGTCAAAGTAGTATCTATGAAGCTTTTAAAAAGCTTTTCTAGAAGATATTATAAAATTAATTTATTTTTAATTACTTTTATATAAACATATAAGTAATTATTAGAATAAATATATATATTTGTAACATTATCTCTCTTTTTAAAGAAACATTCTATGAGAAGCAATTATCATCTTTTATAGATCTTGCAATTCTTCATCTTAGTTTTGATAGATTTTCTTGATGAAAAGCGTCAACTTTCTTTATTGCATTTGAAAGATTTTTTGCTAGATTCCATGTGTATTCATTAATGTCATATTTTTGCCAAGAAATAAGATATTCTAACTTAT